AAACTATGAAAAAAAAAGTAAGGTGGAGTTCATGCCCAATTCAATCAGCTAATCAGTGGCTGAATAAATAACAGTATACTCCTACATAAAAAAAAAAAAGAAAACACCTAGAAAAATGGCAAAATGGCAGTAAATACATGCATTCAATAATTACCTTAAATATCAATGACTTGAATTCAATTAAAGGCAAAGGAGACCCTCAAAGATTAATAAATAATGACCTCATGTAAAAAACAAAAAAGAAAAAAGAAAAAGAAAAATGTCATGGATATCCCGATAGGGATTACACTGAATCTTTATAATGCTTTAGGGAGTGTTGCTATTTATCTTTTCAATTCAGTGTTTTTATTTTCTTCAGATAGGGCTGCAGTGATAGCACAGTGGGTAGGGCATTTGTCTTGCACGCAGCCGACCTGGGTTCGATTCCTCCACCCCTCTCGGAGAGCCCAGCAAGCTGCCAAGAGTATACAGCCTGCACGGCAGAGCCTGGCAAGCTCCCCATGGCGTATTTGATATGCCAAAAACAGTAAGAACAAGTATCATAATTTGTTGTGAAACGTTACTGGTGCCTGCTCGAGCAAATCGATTTTCTTCAGATACATACCCAGGGTGGAATATCTGAATCCTATGGTAGTTCCAGCCTTAAAATGTGTGTGTGTGTGTGTGTGTGTGTGTGTGTGTGTGTGTGTGTGTGTGTTGGGGGAGGAGAGGTAGGGGGACTTCTCACTTCCAATTCTGGAGTGGTTGTACCAGTTTACTTTTTTACCAATAGTAGAATTATTTTTTCTCCACATCTTAGAGATCCTTTTTTATTTCTTACCCTTTTTATATTAGGCGATCTCACAGATGTGAGGTGACAGCTCATTGTGGGGACGTTCTGCATTTCTCTGGTGCTTAGTTAAACATCTATTCACATAACTATTGACTGATAGTTATCAGTATCTACACTGGAAACACTCAAAAGGAGAGAGAGCAAAAAGGAATGCCCTGCCACAGAGGTGGAGTGGGGTGGAGGGGACAGGGTGGGCGTGGTGGGACCATTGGTGGTAGAAAATGGGCACTGGTGGAGGGATGGGTACTTGATCAATGTATGACTGAAACGCAAGCACGAAAGTTGTAAGTCTATAACTGAACCTCACAGTGATTCACTAATAAAAATTCTTAAAAAAATAAAAAGAATGGTAACAAAAAAAATTTTTTTTAAATAAAAGGATAAATTTTATGATAAAAAAAAAGATCACCTGCTTTTTTTAAAAAATTTTTTGTGTTTTGGGCCACACCTGGTGGTGCTCAGGACTTACTCCTGCTCTGTGTTCAGGGATCATTCCTGGTGGGGTTCAGGGAACTATATGGGATGCCAGGGATCAAACCTGGGCTGGACCCATGCAAGGCCAGACCCTATCTGCTATAATACCTCTCAGACCCATCTTTTGCCATTTTAAAATTAGATTGTTTTTTTTTTACTATTAGGTCATATGAGTGTTTCTTTGTGTATTTGCATATTAACTGCTCATCAGATACATGATTGGCAAAGTCATGCTCTCACTCAGATGTCGCTTTCCACTTGCTGGTTTCCTTTGGTGAACAAAACTGTTTTCTTTTTCATGTCGTTTGACTTGTTTATTTTGTTTTGTTTTCTTTTCCTTTTCTTTTTTTTTTTGGTGTCAAATCCAAAAAGGTATCACAAGACCAATATCAAAAGCGTTTACTGTATTTTCACCTATGCCCATATTTTCTTGTAGTTTTATGATTATATCAATTTGAAATTAGTCTGTGTATATGATGTAAGATAGGTTTTCAGTTTCTTTTTCTTTTTTCTTCTTTTTTTTTGCATACAGCTGTCCATTTCTCACAATGTTGTTATAAATTAGTGAGTTTCTGTGCTCTGTGATGTTAAAAAAATAATGTTCCTTCCCCACTATCCATTCTTGAATACTTTGTCATAAAGTCCTTGCAACATCTGTATTAGTTTATTTGCAGTTTCTATTCTGTTCCACTCTATGGATGTGAGCTTATATATCTGCTTTATGTCAATACACACTGCCTCAATTACTATATCTTTCTGGTATATTTTGAAACCAGGAAGCATAATAACGTGCCTCTAACTTTGTTCTTATTTCTCACAACTTCTTTGATTATTTGGTGTTGGATAACATTGATTTATCCTTGCTCCTTCCTCAGGGAGCTTAGGTTTATTGAGCTACTCCCACTACAGTACTCCTGAGGCACACCCAGTTCCAACAAGCATTAATCATCCTACAATGCTTTTCTCTTTCCTTTATGTCACTTGCATGGTTTATTTAGCAATGTCCCTTTTTTAAGACAGAGGAAGACAGTTGCTCTGTGCTTTTGTAACATGGGCGTTAACTAACTCCGAATAATATTTATTCCTGGGCATCCAGCATAATTACTTGACTTAAGCCTCAGTTGCCCTTACTTCCTCACACCCCCAAAACAAGAAACCCAGAGAGGGACAAGCATGGACCCAGAGCAAGCTGTAAGCTACCCTAGCATTGGAAAGGGACCAGCTAAATGCCATAAGAAGTATAAGCTAAAAGCATGGTCGTGGAGCAAACCGTGTCATGACCCAAACAGAAGTAACTGAATAAGGACCCTGCTGGATTAGGAAAGACTAACCTGGCCTGAGGACTGTAGTCTGGGACATATAGCAAGATGTCCCCAGGAAGAGCTAAGTTTTAAGCTTAATATATCTCTTACTGTGCTCATACAAAGTAACTAGAAATATTAGTAAGAAGTAAATTTCCTATGATTGTTTAAATGGACTACATGCTGGGGAAAGGAGACAGCAATACACCCTAGATGGAATCCCACCCCTGAGTGGATCTCCTAGTAATCTGGAGTGCTGAACCCTCAGATGAGACCTTGTTCTTGAGTTAATCTCCTAGAACTTCCCCTGAAGGAATGGCTTTACCTCTGCTTGTTGATATGACAATGTTCAACCCTACCTATGTGTACCCCCACCCTTCACGATTTCTATATAACTATGCTGTAAGGGGAAAGAGGAGACTAGGAAGATGGAACGACGATGACTCTGACTACTACTATGATGACAGGGAAGATGATGACGACTGAGACTATGAGGACTATGACTGTGACTACGAAGATGATGATGGGAAAAGAGAAGAAATTACTATGTGTAAGGGGGAGATCAAACTATGTTGGAGAGGAGAGAGAAATAAATTGTCTAACAACCAGCCTGGGGCCCAGTTCATTTCTCCATTCCCCAGGTCTTTCGTCCGTCCGTTGCCATAGGTCACCTAGGGGAACGGTTCTCGGCCACCAAATGTTCTTGTCCTGAACCTCCCATGTTTTTTTTTAATTCATAATTTAGTACCTTTTTGGTTCATATGAAGTTTAGGACTGTTTGTTCTATTTATGTGAAAAGTACATATTGAAATGTCAATACATATTGCACTGAACCTGTAAAATGAGTCTATCATATGAGCATTACAACAAAAATTACATTTTACAAGTTTAAGGTTAGTTTTGCAAATTTCACGGCTACAATTTCTATGATCAATCTTAGAATACTGAAGAAAAAATATTTGCAAGAACATGTCTTATGTTTTAGTATAGAGTCTGGCAAGCCACCCGTGACGTATTTGATATGCCAGCCACAGTAACAACAAAATCTCCAATGGAGACGTTACTGGGCCCGCTCGAGCAAAATCGATGAACAACGGAAGAGCCTTTACCTTTACCTTACCTATGTCTTATGTTAAAAATATGTTTATCTACAGCTAAAAGAATGTTTTTATAATATCTTGTCAGTATTTCTTCAACTAATAGCAAAGAGGGAATGCCATGTTCAAATCAAGCTACTGAAACTCAGTTTGTGACCACTAAGAGTTCCCAAGCATGCCACAGTCCCTAGCACCATCAGATGTAGCCATATGGCTCCTGAGTACTTCAAAGTTTAAGCCTCATGACTCCGAGTACCGTGGGGCCAAACACTCCATTTCTAGACAGAACACCAAATGGTCAGACCTATACACTTCCCCAGGTGAGCATTGCTGAGTGTTCCTGTTCCTCAACTCCCATCCCATTCCCAAGTGACTGCCTGTGCCCTCTATAAAGCTAAAATAAAAGACTTGAGGTTAAAACATTTACAATTTTTTTTGTGTTTTCATAGGGGCACACCTGGTGGTATTCAGGCCTCACCTTCTCTGGGGTGACTGGAGTGTCATGCAGTGTCAGAGATTGAACGAAGAGCCAAGAATGGTAGGCATGTGCTCTACTATCTCAGCCATATTCTTGACCCAAAATATACCCACTTTAGGAGTACAAAACAAATATTAAATGGGATATGTGTCATATAAGATTGGTATCTATATTATAAAATGTGATATAATTATTAATAATATTATGTACACATCATCACTAATGGTACAAATGTAAAGTAATTAAAAAGATTATCAGATAAAACTTTTCTTCCAGATTGGTATACCTGCTCAGACCACTCTCACTGGATCAGTTCTTCTTCAAACACCATGGGATTATCCACGTTATTTGCCACAGTGATTATGTAACAAATATCATTACCAGAAGAGCAAAAGAATGAGGTAGGATGTGATTTTCAGGATAATGTTCAATTTGTTTAGACAAATGCTCCATTTGATTAATTCCCAGGGTAGTTAATAAGGAACTAGATTCCAGGTATCAAATAATTATTTCTGACATAAAGATCCACAATTAATCATTTATATTTCTATAGATCCTAATAATTCCTCAACTCTGTTTCTTCTGGAAAAGTCTTATGCTTCTCTGGAGTGTAATTCACTGATTTCCTTTGCTCAGTTTCTGATCTCAGCCGCAACATATCCATTGGATCCATGCTTCCAAGCAACATATTTAATTAAACGGGGTATTTCGCCCCCTTGCTAAAGTTCTAGATCTAAGTTGTAAGATAGCATCGCAAAGTAGAAATGTAAAAGCACACAGTAAAATTACAGATGTTAAGTAATCTAAAAGTTGGAAACATGGGGAAAAGGTCAGGCTGGAGTGATAGCACAGTGGTGGGGCATTTGCCGTGCACACAGCCGGCCCGGCCGAGACCGGTTCAATTCCTCGCCCCTCTTGGAGAGCCCGGCAAGCTACCAAGAGTATCTCGCCCGCACGGCAAAGCCTGGCAAGCTACCTGTTACGTATTGAATATGCCAAACACAGTAACAACAAGTCTCACAATGGAGACGTTACTGGGCCCGCCCGAGCAAATCGATGAACAACGGGAGGACAGTGCTACAGTGCGGCGCAAGGGGAAAAGGTAAAGATGATGCAATGGTCTCTACCAAACTAGTCCTGTCCTGTCTTGTCCTCCCGTTGTTCATCGATTTGCTCGAGCAGGCCCAGTAACGTCTCCATTTTTGAGGCTTGTTGTCACTGTGTTTGGCATACCTGCTTTGCCGTGCAGGCGAGATACTCTCAGTAGCTTGCCGGGCTTTCTGAGAGGGGCAGAGGAATCGAACCCGGCTTGGCTGGGCTGGCTGCGCACAAAGCGGACGCCCTACTGCTGTGCTATCGCCACAGCCCACCAAATTAGTACAAGAGAAAATCACCTTGAGGGACTCCAGATCTAAAAAAAGGGGCACAGGCAGTCATTTGGGAAAGTTTGAAGGACATGGAGAAGAGAAAAGGGTCCAGTCAGAGGTAGATGAACAGAAGCTATCTTTCACTGCTGATGAGGAAAGGAAAGGAAGACATGAGAACTGGGGGGAAATGGGGACTGTAACAGGATTGAATGATAGTTTATAGAAAAGAGAATAGGATAAGGAAAATAAATGACGGTTTAACAGAACTAGAAATTAAGAGGATATTGTGAGCCATTGAAATGCATCTGAAAATGGAAAATTACATCAAAAACACCTAATTTCAAAATATAGAGATTTCATATGAAAACTAATGACTTCCCAAAAGTTACATAAAATATGACAGACAATTCAAGGGATCTGAGAGACAGTACTGTGGGTAAGGCACTTATCTTGTGCACAGTCCGTGTGAGTTTGATTCCCAGCACCCCAAGCACTGTCAGGAACGCAAATCCAGGAGCGAGCCCTGAGCACTGCTGGGTGTGGCTAAGAAAGAGAACCACAATTATATATATTTATGTACATTTATATATTTTATATATTTAATATAAAATAAGTAATGTCACATTTCATTTAATACTTATTTTATATTAATTTTATATTATATATAAATTCAAAATTATCATTTTCTGAAGATGGCCAAAAAACCAGGATTTGCTGCTTATTCTAGAAAAATAGAAATGTGTTAAAGTTCTCTGCGGGTTCATACCAGAAAGGTTATATTTTTATATTTGTGCTCTATTCATAGTTTCCTTGTTCTCAGAGGGATGACTGAATCCTTTCCATCCAATGAGGTGTAGCCCTAAGTTTCAGTCTCAGCCGGAAAACTGTCTCCTGTTAAGAAACGATGCAAGACTTCACACCCAGACAATATCTCCAGCATGTAGCAGCAGTAAGCTCAGGCAGAGTGAGTCTAAGGAGAGACAACACGACTGAGACAAGCTGAGCATAACTGTCCATAAAGAAAGATACTTTCCGGGGCCGGAGCCATAGCACGGCGGGGAGGGCATTTGCCTTGCACGCGGCCAACCTGGGTTTGATTCCCAGCATCCCATATGGTCACCCGAGCATCGCCAGGAGTGATTCCTGAGTGCAGAGCCAGGAAGAACCCCTGAGCGTTTTTGAGTATGACCCAAAAAGCAGAAAGAAAGAAAGAAAGAAAGAAAGAAAGAAAGAAAGAAAGAAAGAAAGAAAGAAAGAAAGAAAGAAAGAAAGAAGTTTTCTATCAAGAAAAATTACATGGTTCGTTTTTTTTGGGGGGGTGAATGACGTTTTGAGTCATACCCAGCGATGCTAAGGGATTAATCCTGGCTCTGCACCCAGGAATTAGTCCTGGCAGTGTTCAGGAGGCCACATGGGATGCCATAGATCAAAGTCGGTCAGTTGCATGCAAGGCAAATGGACCTAGTGTACTATCACTCCAGTCGCCAAAAATACATTTTAAAAAATCTCTCAAGTGCTGCCTAAATTTGATCCTTTGTATGTGAAGAGGAACATCTGACTCTGGGGCCAAGTGAGTAATTAACATCATCCTAAAGCTCTCTCTTAGATGCTTTCTCTGTCCTTCCTCAAACAGCACTCAAAGTGTGGATCAGTGCAATGGCAGCACGGTGACAGAGTTTATCCTCGTGGGCTTTGAGCAGAGCTCCCTTTCCACCAGGACATCGCTCTTTGTCCTCTTCCTAGCCCTCTACAGCCTTGCCATGGCCATGAATGTCCTCATCATCTTCATCACCTGGACAGATCCCAGGCTCAGCAGTCCTATGTACTTCTTCCTTGGCCACCTGTCCTTCTTGGACGTCTGCTTCATCACCACCACCATCCCGCAGATGCTGATCCACCTGGTGGTCAAGAACCACGTTGTCTCTTTTGTGTCTTGCATGACCCAGATGTACTTGGTCTTCTTCGTGGGTGTGGCTGAGTGCATCCTCCTGGCTTTTATGGCCTATGATCGTTATGTTGCGATATGCCACCCTCTTAACTATGCCCAAATCATGAGCCAACAGGTCTGCGTGAGACTAGTGAGTACCGCCTGGTTCTTTGGGCTCATCAATGGCATCTTCCTCGAGTATGTATCATTCCGGAATCCCTTCTGTAGAGACAACCATGTAGAAAACTTCTTTTGTGAGGCTCCCATCGTGATTGCTCTCTCCCACGGAAACCTCCAGTTCATCATGAAGGTCTTCTTTGTTGACGCTATTGTGGTGCTTCTCAGTCCCATGGCACTCATTGTCATCTCTTATGCCCGCATCCTGGCTTCCATCCTTGGCAGAGCCTCCTCTTCAGGTGGTCGAGGAAAGACTTTCTCCACGTGTGGCTCCCACTTGACTGTGGTCATATTTTTCTACACCTCAGCCATGTTTTCTTACATGAACCCTCGCAGTACACACGGCCCTGACAAAGACAAACCTTTGTCCCTCCTCTACACAATCATCATCCCTATGTGTAACCCCATCATCTACAGTTTTCGAAACAAAGAAATGAAGAGGGCCATGGTGAGGGCCCTTCGTAGGACTCTGTCTGGTCCAGGAAGACTCTGTTTAAAAATAGTCCTGAAATGGAAACACCCCTCTGAGCCCTAAGAGTGGAATAAGTCTCTAAGATTCAAAGGCACCGAACTCCCTTCCTACTAGGCTCCAACCTGAAAGTTACTTTTGACGTCTAGTGTTCATCTCTCTGACTTCACAGTAAGCATTGTTTTCTCCTGAAACTTATTCCGCTGCCTAAGTTTTGCCTAGATGCTTTATAATAAATTGTTTTTCTCTTTCAGCTTACCATGTTTTACTGTCTTTCTTCCACTCCATTTCATTTCCTAGATTCGCCTTTTATTGCATGTTCCTATGTGAGAAAAATACGAAAGAAATAAGAAAGAGGAATTAGGGAGAAAGACGTATTGACATTAAGAAGAGTAAGAGAAGGCAGATAAATAACTCATTAGCCTGATCACTTTCTGTGTGTGCTGGCGGTGTGGTATGCTCCCTGGCACTGCATTGTTCATTGAGCACCACCAGGGACAATGCCTAAGCACTGCACTGGAAGTAGCCCCTGGCTACCACAAAGGAAGGACGGAAAAGAAGGACAGAAAGAGGAATGGGAGGAAGGAAGGGAGGGAGGAAGAGAGAAAGGAAGTCACAAATCAAGAAAACTTGAGGATACGTAGCCTGAACTCCATCTTCTTTGCTTCCGTTGGCCAGGGAAAGAGAATTTGTGGTGTGCTGACACTGTATTCAATTTGTGATATTTGCATGTTTTGGTGAAAGAGCAGGTGGAGGAGGCCAGTGTATCAAACCCCTTCTGTCTCTGCTTTTTCTAGTTTCTTTATGCAACACATGCATAATTTTGACAAGAAGGCTATCTTCACTAGAGAGGAATTTACATCGGAAATAAGTTAAAAAGAGACAACGTTCTTATGAAAGACTGCTTTTACACTTGGGGCATCTAAAGTAGAGTGTATCGCAGATGTGAGCAAAACGCAATCCTTGAGATAAAAATTGAACACTCATCTACATGGATAGATCTGGAGAGTACTATACCGAGTAAAGCTAAATATGAGAGCGACGGTGCAGAATGTTCTCCCTCATATGTGAGATATAAAGACATACATTAAGGAAGTAACAAATGCCTAAACACAAAAGACACTGAGAACTGGTCTTCAGTAGGAAGCTGGGGGACTGGCAGGGAGGGGCAGGCTTGATGGAAAGGGTAGCACTGAGACAATGGTGGAGAGAAGCGGATACTCTTGTGGAGGATGTGGTGCTGGCACGTTCTATGCACAAAACCCCACCATTAACAGCATTGGAAACCACCAGCTCCTAAAAGAAAATTAAATTTCAAATTAATAAACAATGATCTTAAAAAAGGAAATTAACACTCATAAGATGTGCTATTTTACACTAAGAGTGAAAGGCTCTCATAGTTATTTAAAAAAGCTATTTTAGAAGAGGCCAAAATGGTACATTGTGTGAGGGGCTTTTCTATGCTGTTAGGGTCCAAGAATGGGAGACCACCCTCCCAACCCCACCCCATGTCTCACAAAGTGTCCAGTCAGTAACGCAAGCCACACATGGAGTTTATTGGAGCTGTCAGGAACGCAGGCCAAGACAAGACCTTGTATCAAAGAAAACTTCAAATCTTATAGTTGCTGTTGGCATTCACTGTTTGCACTTCTGTGGGTCACACACTTCAGAGAAAAACCAGGTCGCCCAGAGGTGCCATCTCACTTATCCCAGGATGTTCTAGTGGTTTCTCACCCTTCTTCTCAAGCCTAGATATCCGCGAAAGATAGCGACTGCAAAAGAAAGAGCAAGTTTGCAAGTTTGCAAACTTATAACTTCTCCTTCCTGCCCAGGTGGTCCTGAAGGGTGGGTGCAGGTAGCCGCTACTGCAGGCTGTGGGGGCTTCTCAGGCCTCGGCTCCTCCTGAGCCAAAAACCCGCAAGAGAAAAGGTTTCTCCTTTGAAAGACGCCTTTGGGAGAAACTACTTTCTACCAGTTAAAAACTTCTCTTTTCCAATTTCATTGCAGCTCATTCCCACTCCAGTTTACTTAACCATAAATGGGTCTTTCACATTCCCTGCACTGTAAGTACTTCTCCACACTACTCCACCACTGCAAAGGTCTATTTGCGACTCTGTCCTTTGGCTTTTTGTAGCTTCTCTCCCAGTGTCCCTTGAATGCAGATTACTTTCTCAGGTGTTCTTTTTTCTTTGGAAATTCTTTTTTTTTCCCCTGTCCTTTCATAATAAACATGAAAGAAAAAGAGATGGCCTCGTCTTTATTCTTCTGTGCTACTTCCATAAGATAAAATCACCTCATTTAGAATACCCTCACAAAAATTTGTAAGTCTACAACTGTACCTCATGATGTGTCACTAATAAAAATTAAAAGAAAAAAATTTTTAAAAAAAGAATACCCTCAACAGCTATATTACCCTTTCCACACTCTGCACATCACATACAAATCCTTGCAACGTTTCAAAGCACTAGCAACATTCCACAAAACTATCACACTTGGGGCTGGAGAGATAGCACAGCAGGTAGGGCGTTTGCCTTGCACGTGGCCGACCCGGGTTCGATTCCCAGCATCCCATATGGTCCCCTGAGCACTGCCAGGAGTGACTCCTGAGTGCAGAGCCAAGTGTAACTCCTGTGCATTGCCGGGTGTGACCCAAAAAGCAAAAGAAAAAACAACAACAACAACAAAAAAACCCTATCACATTTGGAGTCTAAATTAGTAAATCTCTAGAAATGAGAGAGCATGAGAGAAGCACTATTTAGCAAGGAAACTGAAGAGACAGACACCTTGTAAAGGAGAAGATACAGTAAGTTTAAAATATAAAACTTTCCATTTATCAGATAAATATTTCACCAGGCAAGGTTAAACAGGCAAGAAACCCTTTATTGCAATAGGAAATTGAAACTCAACTACCGAAACAAGGGGAGGAGAGTTGACACCAGCCACCTGAAAGTGGAAAGTGTCCTTGCCAAGGAAAAGAAAGCTTCCAGACATCAGTTTTAATTTGGAAAGCGGTACCCACTAAAATTATGCTCCTAATCCTCCAGAGACTAGTCAGAAGGAAGCTATTTTCTTTGCTGATTCTTAAAGAATGTTTCCCAGGTCCCTGAGAACAATGTTACCTTTATCTCTAAAACTTCCTGTTTTTTTTTAATGTGATTCTTATGCATTTCATTTCATTTTGTTTGCATTTCAAAGAGACAGAGAAAGAATTCACAATTGCAGGTTCTCCAAAAAGAATCTTCTGAAAAAGAAAAAAAAAAGTGGGGGTTTGTGGCTTGTAGCAAGTTCAGCCAAGCTGAAAGGAAATGTTAAGTCCCTTTTCTCAGAAAGTGCATATTCTTCTCCTTAGAATCGGTTTCCTTGAAAACAGGGGAAGAGAAAAGAAAGAAAAAAGAATCAGAGAATAGGTGGAGAAGGGCACCTTTAAAGAAAGGTTTCTGCGAGGGGCTAGAGGGATAGCATAGCTGGTAGGGCCTTTGCCTGGCACGCAGCCGAGCCAGGTTTGATTCCCAGCATCCCATATGGTCCCCTAAGCACCTCCGGGAGTGCAGAACCAGGAGTAACCCCTGGGCATCGCCAGGTGAGACCAAAAAAGCAAAATAGAGAAAGGTTTCTGTGTGTTTCCTAGCTTTACATTTGCTTCAGCATGTTACATGGTGAGATTATAACCATGGCAGTTCCAGCTTCAAAGCTCAACTTTTACTAGCTCGGACAGCAACGGCAAAACAAAGGGCGAACTTGGGGGTGGGGCGCCAAAGCAAAGTGCGGGGAAGCAACCGCTCGGACTTGGAAGGCCTGATTCAATTCCAACAGCTCGGCTGCCAATCTTGACAAATCTCTGCCGGGTGTTACTTCCACCTTGAGATGCGGAGCTGCCTGCCGAGGCCTCTAGAGGTTGAGTCCTTCGCTCAAAAACCCACCGCCTTTCAGGAAGCAGACTCAGTTCTCTAAAACCTGACCTTTCACCAGTTCTCTAAAACCTGACCTTTCTCACCTCTCTCCTTTAGGGTGTTTTGGTTTGCAACGCAGTGAGAGGGGTGGGTGGCCAAGATGTGCGGAGAGATGGGGGAGGGTACCTGTCACACTGGTGGTGGAGGCCAGGCACTGGTGGCTGGACGGATACTCGAGCACTGTAGGATTGAAACCTAGGCGTGAAAGTCTGGAAGTCTGTAACTGTACCTCAGGGTGAGTCATTAAAAATTTTTTAAAAAAACTTTTTAATGTTTTATAATTTTAGAGGCTGGAGCGATAGCACAGCGGGTAGGGCATTTGCACGTGGCCGACCCAGGTTCGATCCCCAGCATCCCATAGGGTCCCCCATCAGGACCAGGAGTAATTCCAGAGTGCATGAGCCAGGAGTAACCCCTGAGCATCGCTGGGTGTGACCCAAAAAGCGAAAAAAAAAAAGTTTTATAATTTTAGATTTTGGTCTTTGGTCAACTTTGAATGCACTGTTAAATGAATATCTGCCTTTTTCCCCTTATGGGAATCCAGTTTTCCATTAAAAAATAATAATAATAATAAATAAATAAATGACCCTAAGCCCCATTGAACGCTGCGGACGGGGAGGTTCAGCGCCTGAGTGGGGGTCGCGGGAGCAGCGCACAGACGGGCAGCAGCGGGAGCTGACGTCAGAGCCCCGACCCCCCTTGTCGTCCCGCACGGCAAGCCGACCCCACGCCGAGACGCGAGCTCGCGTGGGCGGCCGAGGGCGGGGCCGGGCGGGACGGGGGGAGGCGCGTCCGCGACCACGTGCTCACGGGAGCCCACGGAAGGGCGCCCCTGCCGGTCCTGGGACGTGTCCCTGCGTGCGAGAAGCTGCCGGTCACTGGCTGGCGCGCGTGGCCGGGCGGGGAGGTGGGTGGGCGGGCGGGGGAGGGGGCTGAGAGCGTGAAGGAGCCCAGGGGGGGCCCCTCGGGCCCAGCCCTCAGGGCGCGCAGGCCGGCGCCATATTTGCTGGCCGGGCACCACCCACACTTACCCATGAGGCTCCGCGGCGCCGGCCCAATGGCCGCCCTGGGGGGAGGGGCGTGGTCCGCGCTATGGCCGGCAGCCAATCAGCGCTC